CAGGAATGGTGACAGGGTGCAGTATCTAACTGGATGTAGGCAGCAAGAGAGAAGAATCAGTCAAATAAATATCACTTCCAGGTTTCTGGTCTGGGTGGCCAGATGAACAGCAATGCTTTCACAGAGATTTAAAAGACCTTTACACGAATTTTCTGTAGTTATGGAAATATTCTTTATCCAGGTGATGGTTACACGGTTCATATATGAGCTAAATTTCACCAGCTCTACCCTTAAGCGTTGACCATTTCCCTGAATATTAATTATACCTCAGTAAACTACTATTACCTTACTTACTTATTATTTATATCCTAGATATAAATGACCTTTCAGTCACAGCTAAACATTAAGCAAATACGCACATTTAAGATAAAAATCTCGAGGTCCCAAACCAGGTAACAATCTGAAACGTTGAAGAGATATCAGAGTTCTAATAAAACCTCCCAGTTCTCAGTTTAAAAAGGATAAAAAACACATAACAAAGAAATTTTAAATCTATGTGCGAAATAAATGCCCATGCAACAAGCAGTTACTGTAGTCCAAAACAAACCTAGTCACGTAGTATTGTAGGCGATGTAAAAATGTTTGGCCACACGCTCCTTTCAATTAAGAAAATACCACACGCGCACAAAAAACTAAAGTAGAGAGCGACAGGGGCCAAAGAAATGTTGCAAACGCGAAGCGGTGAGAAATTCAACTGGGGTCGCTATTGACTAAGGCGATATGGGTAAGCTCCGCGGAAATGGCGGGATGTAGTTGACGTCCCGGAGGTGTGTTCCCGCTCCAAGGGCTCGAACCGGCCGATGGCCGTGTAAGGGAACCCTGTGCCCGCCGCCGACCCAAGCACACCCACTGCCTCAGCCGAGGTCCCCCAGCCCCTCTAGTAGCCGCGGGCAGCGCTGGCCGCACGTGGGGTCGCACTGGGCCAGGCCCGGCCCCGCGGCCACCTCGACCCCGCCTGAGGAAGGGACTCGCCCGCTCGCCCGCCCAGCGCGCCGCCTCACCGTGACTCCCGGCCCATGCCGCAGGCCGCGGGAAGGCGGCGCCCTTCGGGATCACGCGCAGGAGAACCGGACCAAGTACGAGGCCGCACAATCCTCAGCACGCCGGGCGAGGAACAGCACTAACAAGCTGCAGCAGCCACAGCGGTAGCCACCATCCGAACGCGGCCAACGAAAACAGGACGTGCTGGCGCCAGCGGCAGGAGGAAGGAAAAAGCGGGCCGGAAGCGGCTATCGTTCCACAGCGCCCCCTCTCGGCTGGAGGTCGCACAGTGCCGGCTGCGCCTAAGGAGGTTACCTCGGCTGGGTTTTCCCTGCACAGCCGCGGAAGCCCCAGCGCCTTGGTGCGGTAGAGGGTGGTGCCTCAGCCGCCATGCAAGCCCTGGGAGGGTCTTTCCTACAGCGGGCACTGAAATGCCATAAGCAACCCCGAGCTGCCCCAGGAAGTGTACTGACATCTAAGCGATGCTACAATCTCCATTCACTCTCATCATTTCTACGTGCATTCATTTAAACATATTGTTACGTGTCAGGCATGTTCTACCTTCCAACGAGCTTTCAATCGCGTGGTTGACATAGGCATTAACAAAAACAAAAGATGTAATATAACAGAACAGGAATGGTGACAGGGTGCAGTATCTAACTGGATGTAGGCAGCAAGAGAGAAGAATCAGTCAAATAAATATCACTTCCAGGTTTCTGGTCTGGGTGGCCAGATGAACAGCAATGCTTTCACAGAGATTTAAAAGACCTTTACACGAATTTTCTGTAGTTATGGAAATATTCTTTATCCAGGTGATGGTTACACGGTTCATATATGAGCTAAATTTCACCAGCTCTACCCTTAAGCGTTGACCATTTCCCTGAATATTAATTATACCTCAGTAAACTACTATTACCTTACTTACTTATTATTTATATCCTAGATATAAATGACCTTTCAGTCACAGCTAAACATTAAGCAAATACGCACATTTAAGATAAAAATCTCGAGGTCCCAAACCAGGTAACAATCTGAAACGTTGAAGAGATATCAGAGTTCTAATAAAACCTCCCAGTTCTCAGTTTAAAAAGGATAAAAAACACATAACAAAGAAATTTTAAATCTATGTGCGAAATAAATGCCCATGCAACAAGCAGTTACTGTAGTCCAAAACAAACCTAGTCACGTAGTATTGTAGGCGATGTAAAAATGTTTGGCCACACGCTCCTTTCAATTAAGAAAATACCACACGCGCACAAAAAACTAAAGTAGAGAGCGACAGGGGCCAAAGAAATGTTGCAAACGCGAAGCGGTGAGAAATTCAACTGGGGTCGCTATTGACTAAGGCGATATGGGTAAGCTCCGCGGAAATGGCGGGATGTAGTTGACGTCCCGGAGGTGTGTTCCCGCTCCAAGGGCTCGAACCGGCCGATGGCCGTGTAAGGGAACCCTGTGCCCGCCGCCGACCCAAGCACACCCACTGCCTCAGCCGAGGTCCCCCAGCCCCTCTAGTAGCCGCGGGCAGCGCTGGCCGCACGTGGGGTCGCACTGGGCCAGGCCCGGCCCCGCGGCCACCTCGACCCCGCCTGAGGAAGGGACTCGCCCGCTCGCCCGCCCAGCGCGCCGCCTCACCGTGACTCCCGGCCCATGCCGCAGGCCGCGGGAAGGCGGCGCCCTTCGGGATCACGCGCAGGAGAACCGGACCAAGTACGAGGCCGCACAATCCTCAGCACGCCGGGCGAGGAACAGCACTAACAAGCTGCAGCAGCCACAGCGGTAGCCACCATCCGAACGCGGCCAACGAAAACAGGACGTGCTGGCGCCAGCGGCAGGAGGAAGGAAAAAGCGGGCCGGAAGCGGCTATCGTTCCACAGCGCCCCCTCTCGGCTGGAGGTCGCACAGTGCCGGCTGCGCCTAAGGAGGTTACCTCGGCTGGGTTTTCCCTGCACAGCCGCGGAAGCCCCAGCGCCTTGGTGCGGTAGAGGGTGGTGCCTCAGCCGCCATGCAAGCCCTGGGAGGGTCTTTCCTACAGCGGGCACTGAAATGCCATAAGCAACCCCGAGCTGCCCCAGGAAGTGTACTGACATCTAAGCGATGCTACAATCTCCATTCACTCTCATCATTTCTACGTGCATTCATTTAAACATATTGTTACGTGTCAGGCATGTTCTACCTTCCAACGAGCTTTCAATCGCGTGGTTGACATAGGCATTAACAAAAACAAAAGATGTAATATAACAGAAAAGAGATTCTACCATAGGAAAGGGGTTCAGAAAAAGAGTTCCCTAAGGAAGTGACCTTTGAGGTATGATTTGAAGACTGAGTAGGAGTTAACTTGGTGAAGAGGACGAAGAGCTAAAAATACATTACACAAGATTATTGTTCTCAACATTGCCTGCGCTTGGGAGCTTAAAAATACATATACGGATACGTGTGTTCCATTCTGATACTCTAATCTGATTGGTCTGGAGTGCTTCCAGTGCACTGGGAATTTTAAAGCTTCCCAGGTGATTCTGAAGTACAGTCCGGTCAAGGCGAAGAACGACCCGCCTAGTGGAACTTACGCTGCAATGTTGAGTTGTTTTAGCAGAAAGCTGTAAAGGCGTTGGGGACAGGCTCTCACTTACTTTACGTGCTTCTGTACTATTTTATGTTCTTACACATACGGATGATAGAAAAGTTCCATATTTTGACTGTGGCAGTCATTGCATGGATGTTTGTCAAGATTCATTGAACTGTACGCTTTTATTTTATTGTTATTTTTTTTGGCCGTGCCCCACAGCCTGCGGGATCTTAGCTCCCCAACCCGGGGCCCCTGCAGTGGAAGCGTGGAGTACTAACCACGGGACGGCCAGTGAGTTCCCTGAACTGTATGCTTTAAATTGGTGTGTTTTATTGTATGTAAATCTTACCTCGATAAATTTGAATTTTTAAAAAATGAAACCAACGAGTTTAAGACTCTAAGACTGGCTTCTGCTCTTCCTCTGTGATTTATTGCCCACCTGTGGCTGCAGGGCAGACCATGCCGAGTAAGGAAGGCCTGAACCAATATATGACAGAATGGACACCAATGAGGGTCAGGTATGAGAGCCATTGTAAATTGCTTGCATGTGGGCTGAAGGTAAGGAGTGTGGAGACACTGACAAGTGGTCAGATTCTGGATGTATTCCACAGGCAGCTTTCCAAACACTAATTGATAAAATGGATGTGAACTGCAAGGGTAAGGGAGGAATAAAGATGACTCCCAGGTTTTGATCAGAGCTACTCTGGATTGTGGTGACTTTGTGGAGATGAAAAAGGCCTGGTTGCAGCAGATTTGGTGGGAAAAGGAGAGAAAATCAGTGTTTCTGCCTACTAGATATCCAGAAGGAGATAATGGCTGAAAGGAAATATATGAGTCTGGAGTTCAAAGGAGAAACAGAGATTGGAGAGATAAGGGTCATAAGCACTGTATAGAATGTATAATACAGATCTTCCTCAACTTAGGATGGGATTACATCCTGATAAACCCATCGTAAGTTTAAAATACTGCAAGCAGAAAATGCATTTTAATATGCCTAACCTACCCATCATAACTTAGCCTAAAAAAATAAATAAATAAAATAAAATAAAAAATAACTTAGCCTAGCCTACCTTAAACGTGTCAGAACACACACATTAGCCTGCAGTTGGGCAGAATCATCTAACACAAAGCCTAATAAAATGTTGAATATCTCATGTAATTTATTGAATACTATACTGAAAGTGAGAAGCAGAACAGTTTCAAGTGGATCATCATGGACTGGGATCTGCAGCTCTCTGCCACTGCCCAGCGTCACAAGAGAGTATCATACTGCAAATGGCTAGCCCAGGAAGAGATCAAAATTTGAAATTCAAAGCACGGTTTCTAACGAATGTGTCACTTTGACACCACCATAAAGTCAAAAAATTGTAAGTCAAACCACCCTAATGCAGGGACTTTCTGTATACGGTATTTGAAGCCAAGGAACTGGATGAGGCCATGCAAAAATCGACATAGCTGGAACAGATTTTTTAAATCACTTACTCAAATTTCTTGATTTTAAGGGAGAATACTGAGACATGGGAAACAAGTTTAATCCCAGATCACTAATCTTCTTGGAATCTAAACTGGAACCAGAACCCAGGCATCTGATACCCAGGCCAGAGCTCTTTCCAAGATACTTCATTTCTAACTCCCTTTTTTTAAAAAAATAGTTTTATTTTCTTTTTTAATATTCATTTATTTAGTGGCTGCCCTAGGTCTTTAGCTGCTGCATGCAGGATCTTCAGTTGCAGCACGCATGCAGGATCTAGTTTCCTGACCAGGGATCGAACCCCAGCCCCCCACACTGAGAGTGCAGAATCTTAACCACTGGACCACCAGGGAAGTACCTCTAACTCCCTTTTAAGAGAACATATTCACATGACAATTCTAACTGGCTTTTTGTGCCCAGAGCATATTTACGGTAAGTTCACAGCATTTCTATGTCCTTGAAGAAAATACTTTTATCTATTAGCAGAGGTGAAAGAAATAATTATAGTCTACTATGTCTCCAATACATCACTTATTTAGCAAACTGCCCTCACTTCCAAAGCAGATTTTGATTCTAACTAACCTAGTTCTGAATCTCATAACCCTCTGTTTTTACACCAACTGTGTGTACACACATCGGTTTATACAGCTAATAAGACTAAAAATCTATCGCCAAAGATGTCACCTCTCAACGACCATCCTTTGTTGTTGTTGTTGTTTTCTTTTTTGGCTGCACCTCACAGCATGAGGAACTTCCCAGACCAGGGACGGAACCCGCGCCCCCTGCAGTGGAAGCGCAGAGTCTTAACCACTGGACCACCAGGAAGTCCTCAACAACCACCTTTGTCAATCTAGTTTTAACTCATAAACATTTCAAATCCCTGAAATTTCTAAGTAAAAAAAATTCTTCTTAATTATTCCAAACACTAATAAACCTGCATTTCCATTTGACATTATTCAACATGCTTAAGCAAATACTCATGTCTTCTCTTTGAAATAAATTTGATAATGACCTACAATTACTAAAACTTTGCATGTTTAAAGTGACAAAATGGAAGAAATAAAATGTGCAGTTGAAAACCCCTAGTGTCTTCCCAGGGATTGGGGAGAGTGTGACAAATTCAAGAATACTATCCAATCCTCTGGATATTAGATTTGTATGGAATTAGGAAACATGTGTGCTTGTAATCTTACCCTAAGTCAAACGAATAGACAAATTGTTATACTTATTCTCCATCACTGTGTTCAAAATAAAAAAACTTTGTGAGTAATAAAAAAAAAGTCTATATCACAAGAATTAATCAAACAGACGATACAAAAAAACTAGGGAAATGTAATACCAAGTGATAAAAAACTTATACTTTATACTCTTTTAAGTCAAACCTTCCAAATATGACAGTGTTACCACATTAGTTAAAAGAGTATTTATGCTATTGGGTTGAATACTTCAGTCAATTCTTCAAATTCCATTTTTATATCTAATCATTCTATGCTTATTGCTTAAAAAACATACTTCTGAAAATCTAAAACTCAAAATTAAAATTAATAATAAATTTCATAAATACCTTTTAATTTCACACGTATGAATCTTAAATCATTTCCTCCATTAAATATTTATGCTGGAATAAAAATTAAGATACTGGGGCTTCCCTGGTGGCGCAGTGGTTGAGAGTCCGCCTGCCAATGCAGGGGACACGGGCCCTGGTCCGGGAGGATCCCACATGCCGTGGAATGGCTGGGCCCGTGAGCCATGGCCGCTGGGCCTGAATGTCCGGAGCCTGTGCTCCGCAATGGGAGAGGCCACGGGGTAAGAGGCCCGCATAACACACACACACACACACACACACAAAAAATTAAGATACTGACTCAACGAGAAAAGGTAAAATTGGCTACCTTATTCAGCCCTTATAAGTTAAAATGTGCAAACTTAACACTAGACAATTCAATTTCTTTCATTTTATTTTTAAGATGGCTCCATTTCTCAGGACAGAACAATACAAAATACAAGATTCAGTCCTTGGGACTGGCTGAGACGACATTCATCTGCTCTCCTAAAAGCACTAGCTCAGCTCTCAAAGAGGAATTACAAATCTGAGAAGTTAGGGAAAGGTGTAGACTAGGAATTCTAATTAAACAAGAAAAATCGATTACTGACATTGGTACTCTAATCTTCACATCAGTATTAATACAAACTCAACCCTTTCCAGTCAGGGAACCTGCCATTCCATTCCTAATCAAGTGGTTTTAAAACCTCAAAAAGTAAAAGAATTTCATAAAAGTGTAAACCAATATGCTTCCTTTAGAGTCACTGCAATATAGAAATTTTTTTTTGTAAGCTTCTCTTTCTGAGTTCTGCAGGCTTCATGGTACTTCAGAGCCCCAATAATCAAGCAGTTCATGACAAAAGATAAAAGTGAAAAAGTAGACACAGAGATCTGTGAAAACTTCGCCCATTTTGCTATAAGTATCCATTGATCGATTTATCACTTCAGCAG